TTAAGAGCACGTCCATTTTACTCGGTGTTTAAAGTACTGTCGTGATGTTGCCCCAAACTCTGCCCATCACACACGCGGTTAAAGTCCTGGGACTTAGGGTGCACTGCTGGGGACCGCGCCCTCCGACTTTGACTAACGATCTGAATCCGAGTTGTAGGGTCTAGCACTTGGAGATAGAGTTAGACCTACCTGATTTGGGGCTTAGGATTTGGGCTTTCGAAGGTTTGAATTTAGAGTCCAGATTTCACGCTTGAGACGGGTTTAAAATCTAGCGGAGTGGTGTTGCAATTTCCAAGTACTGCACTCACCTCACGGCCTGTCAGGCTCGGGCTCAGTGTTCGGGTCTCTAAACGGACACGAGACGCACGAGATTCGCCACGCTGCAGCCAGAATCAGAGAACTTCGCAAGCAGGGCTACTTACTACCTGTCACCCTGCACCCAAGTCCCTCGATCTTCCAGCTAAAGACCACAGCAAGAGTGCGCACAAAGATTCAAGGACACGGTCATCATAGCCAAACAGCAACATGCTTCTCATCCTTATGAGTACTAAAATCAAAATCGCTAGCAAGGACATGGCCGAGAGGCGTCCTGTTGACTGCCAGATCCCTGATGTTGCCTGACGCCGTCGAGCTTTGCTTTGGGGCTCTTAAGTAAGGCCTGAACCCCCCCCCCCCCAAAAAAAAAAAAAAGAAAAACAAGCCAAATTTAACCCGAGAACCTACAAGCCAAACGCCAAAAACCCAACACCCTCTTCCCACAAGTTGCGACCTGATACTCGACACCCGTTAAGAGGGTTCTCAGACTTGAAACGAAGCTGCGGAGCCTTCCGAGAACGTCAGCCCCCAACGCAAAACCCTAATGCCTGGGGCTTTGGGAAACTGCATCTCCTTCGAACCTGCACCGTGAAAAGCACGCCAATTCAAAAAGCAGCAGACTCCGCAATGCGTTACAACTCTGTCCTATTGGCTGAATGAAAGAAGTGCCGAATCCCAATGCCAATGAACACCATAAAGCTACCTCCTGCTCTTTGTGGATATTCTACAGGGGGCCGATGACAACCTTTCAAAGCAACACCCTCGGAAATTTACGGCCCAAGCAGCCTGCCATGAAAGCACCCAACTCCAAGCCACACACGGCCTCAACAACTCCAACTCTCACAGCCTGCAAACTTCAGACTTCTCTCAAGCACCGCACAACCCCTGACATCCTGAAACCCCGAACCCTCCCATCTCTGGCTCCTTGGCCAGATGCCATGTACGAGCCGCCGCGAAACGATAGGCCGTTTGGGGGGGAATCCCACTCGTCGTATAAGGAGGTCGTAGTAGTGGCTTTAGCAGTCGAAACCTCGAAAGCAACTACCATAACTACAAAAGTACAACAAGCAGTGGAGTAGCAGGGCTGTAGTTGTCATAGTTCATCATGGCAGTATGACTAGTAGTTCTGGTCATTGACATCAAAATGCTAGGTCCAAGATGCATTGCTATGATTTCTGGCAATCCAAAGACTCGACCGAAACCTGAAACCTAAGCTTGGAGCCATGACATCTCTACCATGAGTGGAGCCTTCTCCACGCTCTCGAGCAAGGGCGTTGCGCGCGGTTTCGTGGCGGGTCGTGCGCAGAAGAGCGGGCAAGAACATGCCGAAGCTTGTGATGCACTGAAGGAGACTCGCAGCGCACTGCCCCAAATGATAGCAGTCGTGTGGCCAACTAACTATGAGAAAGATCGTGACAAACATGCATATAATCTCAAGACTAACAAGAGCTTTCACCCTAAACACGGTCAGACTAACCGTACACAGTCTAGTTTTGCATGCAGTCGAGCACGAGCAATGACAGGAATGGTGTCCTAGCCGTTTACCCTACGTCGACACCAAACTCCCAACCCCAAGCCTTGACCCCAACTCTCACACTACCCCGGAAGCTCCACACCCTGCCCTCGTCACCCCAGACTCAGAACCATCAACCTCTAAATCCTGAAGTCTAGACTCTCGAGCTGACTCAAGGCTTTACATCGGGTGACAACAGTCCTCAAATGGTGGCATTCTTATTCCGCACACCTACAATAAGGGAGTCCCTAATTTGATCACACCGATGGCCAAGGAGCTCAATCCGCAGAACCGGGTCGTTGAGGCGCAGGAGTCGCTGCATGGGATCGAGATGTGCCTTGGACACAGGGTCATGGAAGGGCTTAAATGATCAAAGCTGTAACTACACTAGGAGTGCTTCATTGTGGTACAGCATAACCATAGACGGAACAGCAAACTATTTTTCAACCGCTGTAGAGTTTGCTGTTCTTCTTCATCGACCTCGATGAGGTGCTTGCAGAATTATTCGTTGGTCTGCACAAGATTCCAAGTTATGCGCCGAGAACAGAGGATTCAAGACAGGATGGCACATGCAGTTTTACATCGTCTTTCTACATTTTTGACACTCAATCCCACACCCGAGGAACACAATGAGCAATAAAAATGTCAGGTACAGGTACGGCCCTGTTGGCACAGAATTTTCAGTGGGCAAGTAGCAGCGGCATGTTAATGATTCAGCCAGTTAGTGATGGAGTCGGGGGAGAGTAAGGAGCAGGCTGCTATGCTGGGAAATATATCCATCTTCGGAGAAGCATCTTATTCAAAAGACACCAGAGAAAAGGAATCAGCCCTTTCAAACAACAATCAGGCTTCGGCGAGGCCCCGGCCAAGGGAGGTGTGCCATAAACCATCTGATAGAGGATGATGCCCAAAGACCTGGGTCCACAGTAACGCCCAAAGCCCTCAACCCCTGAAGTTTGAACTAATTCCTGTCCTAGACCCCTAAAGACGCTTGGAGACTGACAAGTCTAGAGTCTTCAGCCCTGAAAAATGCGAAGCCGTATGAGCCAAAGAGGCCCTAGAGCGAGGCCGAACAATGTTACGACTTCTTCTGCGAGGCCACAGGGGGCTATTAAGGGTAGGTGGCTCAAAGCCACACCTATGACCTGAATGATTTACTTGAGGGAGCTTGACAATGCAGGTCTCGTGGGCTGCAGGCTAACCTCTGACCTGGAATTCCGGACATATACGGCTTTGGGTGTTGGTGGCTTGCTTTGAGGATCGCGGGAACTTGGTCGGCCCCAAATAAGGTACGAGTAGCTTTATAATCGTCCTCAATATCAACAAAGATAGCATCCTTGACTTTGAGGGTTCAGCAAGTAGAGTATTTACAAACAAGAACCCCCAAAACTTGAATCAAGCATGGGTGTTGAAGATCTGCATATTTCTGCTTGCTCCGCAAGTTGGAAGCTCAGGCGACTTGGCATGTAGGTTGCAAGTCTTAGTGGAGTTCTAATGGGGATTGCGGTGCTTATAACCCCAGGGGTCCGGGCTGAGGGAGAAGACGGGCGCAGCTCATTCAGGCAGGTTCGAAGTCTTGGGGCAGGGTCTCTGAAGTTCAGCCAAAAACTTAGGCGATTTGGGGTTATGCAGGAAAGGCCCTTTAGACTCTCGGGCGTTTGAGAATACCTTTGGGTACCTGAAGTCGGAGGGCTCCAGAGCTAAGAACCTTCAACAAGGGAGAGTCAAAGGTTCTTAAGCGTCTTTGTGGAGGCTTTGCAGGCCACCCCGAACGTCCCCGAACGCCGTCCCGAAACCTTAACACCGTCACCCTAAAGCCCTACTCATACACCCCTCCACCTGGAAAGCGAACTCCATACTCACTGAAGTCATCCCTCCTTTCTGGGCCTCAGGCCAAATGTCAGAGGCCCTGCCGAGCTTCAGCCTCAGAACTTCGGGGCTTCCGCAGGCTTGAGGAAGAGTGTTCAGGGCCTTAGGAAGGAGGGTTGCCTGGGTCTTCGGGTCTAGGCGTCCTCCCTGGGGCTTTGAAGGGTTTCTGCTGGGACCTTTGGAACAGGGCCCTTTACTTGCATCATGGACTCGGGGCTTAGCCTTGACCCGCCAACTCTGACGGAATGTACAGTATTTCAATCGGTCTGTTTACGGGAGATCTCCAAGACCACCCTGAGTCCACTAGTTGTCAGATTGACAGGGCTGCAGACGGATTCAGTTTTGGAGAGGCTCTGGGGAACTCGCGTACCTCTAAGCCCCGTTCCGCTTGAGGCTTCAGGAATGTCCGGCTGACATTGTTGCTGCTACTGCCGCTATTGATGCTTTTTGTACCCTGAGAATGACGAGGATGGCCGCTGAATCAAACTCTACGGTCTACTGCCGCGGCCGTTCTTTCCGGCTCACGATTTTACTCTCATTCTCCCACTAGTAGTGCCCAACTCCAACTCCTACTACCGACGAACCCGACATCCCACGACTCCTATGCTCACTACGACTACGACTACGACTTCTGCCACTGCTTCGGCAGAGAGCTGGGGACGGGACTGCCCCTGCTTCACCGCCTCTGGCGCCATATAGCTAAGCGTCCCTACCTGGGCGATTTTCCGGGTCAGGGATGTCAGAGTGCAGGGTGAGGCTACTTCATATCAAAAGTCTGCTTCGAAACAAGGCTTTCCCAGGTCCAACAGCGAAAACAACAAGCCAGCATTAAGGGAAATCCATGCACGGTCTGTTCCCAACTCGAAATGCAGTGGATGCTTTCTAGGGCCCTTGCGGAGGTGTCCCGCTGGATGTTGGTGGTGTCGTTGGAGATTCGCTTGGCGATCCCGAAGTCGATCACCTGTTGGGGCTTTGGGTTTGTACTTCAAGCTGTCGAGTTTAGACATTGTGCTGGGTTCTAGCTAAGGGACGCTTGTTAAGTTACACAATCGGGACACATACTGTACACAGTACGGTGTGTTGATGCTAAGAAGGTGGCACAATCCTCTTCGTCCCCGGGCTTTTTTTGCTGTGATTAGCAGTATTGATACTTCTACGAACCACACAACGCTCACAATCGATCATCGCCCTGAGAAATCACAGTGATGATGCTCATGATCGGCAATCATGACAGCATATGTAACCAAGTCAAGCGGAGAATCGCGCTGAAGGCAAATGGGCTGTTCTTGGAACACCCTAAAAACTCATGAGCACTTGCGGCTCTGTCTTAACATATGCTATGCACTTGAAAGCAGTTTTCGAGCAGGACAGGAAATTTGAGTACCCGCGTCAGTGACTGAAACGACAACAACACCATTCCGCCGAAAGAGGTGCTCACATAAAATACTCAAAGGGGTCCTCAGTCCTGGACCCTAGTGTCAATCATAGTCATCGTAAGGAATTTAGCAAGCATAAGAATGCTAGCAAGCAGAAGTACTGTCAGTGGTAGTGATGCTTCTCGAGTTTTGTGGGTTGCGGGGAATCTCTTCCCAGGTTCTGGTTTTCGGGGTCCCCGGCCGGGCCGGCGTTTCGGAGTCTGTGCCCGGGCAACGAAAACGATCAGCAACAGGATATACGTAGGGGCAGAGAACACGAAAAGACATGCCAGCAGTTCCCGGTGTTCCTTGTTTGGGGCTGGTCGTTTGGGGACTAGGGACGAGAAAAGCGAAATTATTGTTGGGTTTGAAACCCTCTTCACAATTCAGCCCTAAACCCTAGACCCTAAACCCTAAACCCCAAGCCCTAAACTCTAAACCCTACCCCCCCCCAACCCCTAAAACCAAGACTTCGGTCGCCTTCAAGCGGCCACTGATCAGGAGGAAGTTACCGGGCTTGAGGTCCTCAGCAGCGGCTCTTGAAAACTTCGGGGATTTTGGAGGGCCCGGCCGTTCTGCCGAATTTAGGGTTGAGGGTTTAGGGCCTTTCATCCAAGCTATGCCATCTCGAGCTATACCTCGCGACTTGCTTCGGATTGCAAGTGTGATCCATAGTATAATTATTGTTGTAGGACTCAGTGTGCTGAGCCATCCTTGGAGAGTCAGCACGAGACCGTAACTTCCTCCACTCATGAGCTTGGCATCTCTTTTGACTAACGCGCGACGTAAAATCTGAGGGGACGTCCTTCAGAAGGGCTTGCGATTTGCAAGTTCGACACTTTCTGTCTCCAAAAAGACGCGTATGCAGATGGCGAGTCAGCTTGCCCAAGTGAACACTACCACAAAGCAGTTCACAAGGCCGAGACGTCAAGACTTCCGACCTATCATCGCCAACTCTGACTGCTTGTCACCGCTAAGCACGGTTGACAGGCAAATTAGCCTCCACTGCACTACATACACCCTGCTTTGCTCAGTAAGGGCCCTGCTTGATGGCCGGGTCCATGTAGCTGGGCTCCGAGTTCTCGACCTCCTTTCCAACGAAGCCGCCGACCTTTGGTGGCCCGGCCGCCGGGGGGATGTTGTACTTCTGGGCTGCGTTCTTCAAGACCGCACCGTAGTAAACGATGCAGAAGCCGCAGAAAGCCCAGGCCAGTGGCTCAATGCCATAGAAGACATCGAAGTACTCCTTGCCTCGCATGCAGACGTGTTGCTCAAATGCCTTCGGCACCTCAACCCTTCCTAGCATCATGTGTACTTGCTCATGCATCGACATGTCTAAGA